GTGTGTGTGTGTGTGTGTGTGTGTGTGTATTTCAAAGTTTGTAGATGCGTTACTCTCATGACCAGGGGTCTGGCGTTTACTCACTAGGCAATTGAGAGCCATTTAAAGAAAATGCTTGGACATGTATATATCCCCGAGTACTGTGTACTTGGGAGTATTACTGGCTGAAAGTTCTAGAAATAGACTTGATATGCAATGTTTACATTTTGAAAGGTTCTCCCAAATTATCTACGTAAGAGATGCATGTTCCCGCCAACAGTCTAAACACATATGCATTTCCCCACATCACTGTTTAACCCTTGATATTATACAGACTTAAACTTTTTGTAGCACTTATTTCATTTCAGAATCATTAGTAAGATTGGGTAGGTACCTTTTCACATGCTTACATGCTACTTGGATTTTTTTTTTTCCTATGAGTTGTCTCCTCTTATTCTTTGTCCAGTTTTTCTAATGGAATGCTTTGTCTATTTCTTATCAATCTGTATCAAGTCTATACATTGCAGCCAACAGCCCATCGACTGTTATAAATGTTGAAAATAATTTCCTCAAGTCTTGTGTCTGTATTTAGACTTTCTGAGTGGTATCTTTTGTCATTTACAAGTTTAAATATTTATATAGGTAAATCTGTCAATCTTTTAAAATAGAACTTTCTGGTTTTATTGTCAAGCACAGTAAGATATATTATAGAAATATCGTCCTTATTTTTCCTAACGTGTTCTGGTAGTTTAACTTTTGTGTTTAGAACATGACTCCATTTGGTAGGAGTTTTTTTTGTATGGTGTGAGGTAGATGTCTTATATGGCATATTATTCTTGTAAAAAATGCTGGATTTGTGAATATTTATTAAATTTTATTGATCTCTATTCATAAGTGAATTTGCACTATAATTTCTACCTCATAACATTTTGGAAGGACATGACCTAGTTGTTAACAGTTGTGACCTCTGTAAAGTGCAAGGAAGAAGCAAGGATACTATTTTGAATACTTCTGTACTTAAAATATTCCTTCAGAGAGTGACATTACATTTCTAATTTAATAAAATAAAAATTTTGATTGCTGTTGAGGAAGGCTGTAAATGTCAGTCTAGGTCTCGGGCAGATGACTGATAAAAATAAAGGGCTGATCAAAAAGTAAGGGATGTGAAGGGCTAAAGCCTAAACAAAGGTGGGGAGAAGAGAGAGGAAAGGCTAGTTCGAGAACACTGAAGATGGACCTTAGGGGAATAAAACGGAGAGGCAAAGAGTAAGATCAGAAGAGTGTTTTCATGCTGTCAATTGCCAAAACGTCTGGCAGAAAACGATGATGTTGACATTTTCTGATCATTAATGGTTTGGTGTATCTTTCATGAGAGGTAAGGAGAGAACCTGAAAATAACCTGAACCCACAGCATATTCATGTACAGCGTCTACTGCATTCAGCCTGTTTTCTCTTCTTTTCTGCAAAAAGGATCCAAGCATACTCCCTGCCCTAAGGAAAAATCTGTATCATTTGTTACTAAGTTTTTTCCAATGAGGGTAATTTACCTTGCCTTCTGGTTTTTACCTATAGTCAAATGTGTTTCTATGACAGAACTTACTGTTCCTAAGATCGCTGGGTTTTTTTGTTTGTTTGTTTTTGTTTTTGTTTTTCTGGACAACTGTTCCATTTCCTTAGCATGATGTCAGTCCCCAGAGCCTCTGGTCCTCCAAGGAACATTCAACAACAGTCCTTAGCTCCAGGAGGAAGCCGTGCCTATCACTGACTCTGGCACAGGCAGTACATCTTGACTAAAGAAGAGCTTCCTCATGAGACACCATGTAAGCCCTATTTTGAGAACAGAAACCCCCTTTCCTACTTCTGGAAAGCATGGGGGAAAGACAGAGAAAGATTTGGTGGTCAGAAAACATACACATTTGACATTTTCCCTTTGGTACCTAGAAAAATGAACCAGCCTGTGCTACTTAACTATATCTGATGTTTAAAACCCTGATTTATGACACATTCACGTATCCCCATTATAACAGCATTTAGATCTGTGTTCAGCTGGGAGACCCTGGCTGCTGAATTCAGAGAGATTAATAGCTTCTTCTTTTGAATTATTTTTCCTATTGTTTTCATGTTAAAGTTACTTTTTACACAAAGATGTATGCTCAGTGGGATCAGAAAGAAAGGATCTGGCTATTATTTTCTGTTTGTCTAGATAGGAACATGTGGCTTCTGGGACAGATAGACTTATTTCTTGGAACTTAACATTGATTCAAAGGCTGTTATCTTTTCTCATAAAATATTCTGTTACTCTTAGGTAGGAATTTCTAAAACTGAGGCCAGAAAATGGTCCTGGGGCCAAAAAATATTAACTGAAAGATTCTGATCATTGAGAAAAAAAAATATGAACTTGTCTGATTTGATTATAAAACTTAGCTCTCAAAAGGCTGAGCCATCAATGTTCCTAACGCTGAATTCTTTCACAACGAAGCAACCAATGAACAGCATCAATAACTTAACATAAAAATCAACTTTTCCTTTTCTCTTACTTTGTTTAGCTTTCAATTAAAAACATTATTATTGTTATTAATTTTTGCATTTCAATACCAATTTCCAAAAGGTATAAGGCAACATAAATGTGAGGCTCGTTGGGTCAGGGAGGGGTTTACCAGTGATTACTGTCTGACAGCTAATCTGCTCAGGCTTTTGTCAGGAGTTCTGAAAGGTATTCAAGCAGAGGCTCCACCAGAGGAACAGTCGCGATTTTTAGAAACCTAACAACATATAATTTTGTTACATTTGCATTCAAATACATGCTAGCTTTAAAAAAATGCACCTGCTTGTTTCTATGACAATAGGCACAGTGAAATGATGCTCGTACAGATGTGATGATGACTGTCACCCCGTCACTGCTGTTATTTTTTTCTTGAACAATTCATCAAATTCTTCTCTGCTCTCTACCATTCAACCATTTGATATGCCTCAGTAGACAAAACTATGCCACGGAAGCCGAAAGGATGTTTTGCTAATACTAAGAACCAAGAGACATTATTCAATTGTTATCCCTGAGACAATGTCTATTGACTTTGCTAATTGGATAATCACCGTTCTTCTATAATTCAGTAGTAAAATATTTTATAGCTAGCAGGATGGGGTTGCCTCCTAATCAATGCTCGTTACAAAATACTTATTGTTTTTAATACAGGTTATTTTTTAAAAATATTATGTTGTGTCTTTACATATAATAGCATATAGTCCAGAAACATCCAAAGCATTATAAATATACACCCTGAAATGATACATTATTTGAAAAAAATCAGTGTTTTTTTTTTTTGCTTCTATGCAGTAACCATTATAACTATCAAAGACAATAAACTTCTTAAAAGACATGATGCCATTATGCGTTTTTAAAAATACTAGACAGTCTAGCTACATGGAAATTATAATAAAAATTAAATTACTAATGAATGTGTATACTACCTCATATAATGTGATGACACCATATGTTTGAATCGGTTCCCGCCACTGAAGAAATATCTTCTCTTCAAAAGTACTTCCTTGGATGGATTCAGTGGGAACAGCGCCTGGCACTAGAAGGGGGGGGAAATCAATAAAAGTTTGAGTGACCCCCCCTCAAAATTAGATTTTCCTAGATATATTAGATTTTTAACTCTCAATTGAGACATAAGATTTAATAGGCCACAGGTACATTCAGTTTTCTTTTAAAAATACGAAATTTAAAACCATTTAAATGGTTTTAGCACTGTCTTTATAAAGAAAATAATTCCATCATTTTTTTTTCTTTAAAACATGAATCAATTACACAAAGATCAGTAATTACCTTTGAAATGAACTTTTGTATTCTTCAGAAATAAGGAAAAATACAGAGCAATAATAATTCCCACACACTGCTTGTGAGAGTGGAAATTGGTACAGCCACTTTGGAAAACAATTTGGTAATGGTAGTACTTAGTAAAGTTACAGAGGCATGTATCATGTGACCCACTTCTAGGTATATTTCCGAGTAATATTCTTGCACATATACACCAGGAGACATACACTTATTGTCAATACAGCATTTTTTAAATGTTTATTTTATTTCTTTTGAGAGAGAGGGGGAGAGAGGGAGAGAGAGAAAAAGAAAGAGAGAGAGAGCGAGAGCGCTCATGCATGCAGAGCAGGAAAGAAGGCAGAGAGAGGAGAGACAGAATCCCAAGCAGGCCCCGCCTTGTCAGCACAGAGTCCAACTCAGGGCTCAATCTCACAAATCCTGAGATCATGACCTGAGCCAAAATCAAGAGTCAGGAGCTTAACCAACTGAGCCACCCTGGTGCCCAACAGAGCATTTTCTAATAAAAATAATAAATTGGAGACAAACCAAATGGTAGGAAAGAATGTTTTAGTCATACAATATGATACAAAAAAAGACTGAAAATAAATGGCAGCTATGTACATTATCATGGATGGATTTTATATTTATAATTTTATATTTTTATATATTTTATATTATTGAGGAACAAAAGCATGTGAAAGAAAAATAGATATGAACTGCTGTACTGATCTTTAATGTGTTACATATGCACAAAATACATGTTTTAAAACGATGTGATATAGATGAAATAATATGTAATAAATATTTTTAAAAAATATTTTATGTATTAATGATTACAAAAACTGGGAATTTTGATGCCACTGTAAAAAATGTTTATTTATTTTGAGAGAGAGAGAGAGAGAGAGAG